CTTCTCTCTGGCAGTAGGAGCCAGATGACTGACAGGTGAATGCGGAAGTGATGTAACACACATCACTTCCGCATTCACACTACAGAGGGAGATCAGATGGGCTAGCGGATCCCGGGATTAAAGGTGAGGGGTCAGGAGGGGGGAGATGGCGGCACTCACGATCGGGGGGGGGCTCCCGAAATTCACGCCATACAACCAATCGGCGGCTCTAGAGCCGCTGATCGGTTGTATGTGAAACCACCGTTAACGGCTGTAGAAACGAGCGGGTCTTTCCTGCCCGTGCGCACGCGCTAGGGGGCGCGCACGAGCAGGGAAAAAATGTCGCATGGAGACGACAACACGCTGATGCGAGTCTGCAGTCCGTCCGTTTTTTCTTAACGGGTGGACGGCAAGAGGTTAATGTATTGCTGGGATAGTGGGATTTGTCGTCCTCTGTAGCTGATGGTACATTGTGCTGTATATTATACACAGCAATGTACCATCAGCTATTGAGGATGACAAATCCTAGCAATACGTTATACACTGGGGGGCATTTATCAAAACTGGAGCAGACAAAATCTGGAGCTGTTGCCTATGGCAACCAATCAGCTTCTCTATTTAGTTTGTTCTGTTAAGGTTTGAAAATGACAGAGAGAAGCTGATTGGTTGCCACAGGCAACGGCTCCAGATTTTGTCTGCTCCAGTTTTGATAAATTCCCCTCAATGCATGTATAATGTATTCTTCTATAGCTGGTGGTATTCTGCATTGCTGTATAATGTATTGCTGGGATTAAAAGTCCTATTGGTGACGTGTATTGGTTCCGGTCTGAGGTCTGCCATTTAGCTCACTTTCAAATTGCCTATATTGGTCTACATTTTGAAATTCGCCCACCAGTTCCCCAGCAATTCAATTGGCCCACTATTTGAAAAATAATGTGGAGAAAAAATTTCTGTGACACAAGAATGTCTATGCAGGTGGGGCGTGAGGGAGGGACTTGTATATGGGCGGAGCACAAGGGGCCCCTATAATCACTCGCAGATTGTTGGGTCTGGAACGGTTTTCCAGATCGTCAACCTTATCCTGCAAAGTCCTGTGGCTGATTTAATGCAGATACTTACAAAATGTATTTGGTCACAGAACACATGTAATGTTTATCTGTCAGTAAAGACATGACTTGATAACCCTGTCTCTGGTCTATCCACGATTGTCCGAAGGTGTTCAGACAAGGCAGGAGTAGCAGGAACTAGAACAATTTGGATTGTGCTTAGGTACTTCTCTCTGCCCCTTCTGCTCTTGGTACTGATCCAGGAATACATGGTTAGAACTAATGTAACATGGTATATTTACATGTCTGACACCCTGGAAATGATTGCTTTATAGTGTCAGGAAGGAGAGATAATCTAGTTTTCAGTAGCCCAAGTAAGATACAGTTATCTGCAGCCATGGTAACAAATTATAAACTTGCTACTAGGACACTGGAGGAAATGGAAAGTTTTAGCCGGTGAAATGGGCACACCCAAGGGAGAGCATGAGATGTAATTGTAGATCAGTAAGGTGGATTGGAAATGATCTGACCTCTATCTAAGGACACCACATGGGTTGATTTACTAAAGGCAAATAGGCTGTTAACTTCACAAGGAAACTTGTGAAGTGAAACTTGCACTTTTAAAGGTCTGAATTAAATGCAAGCCGTTTAGCTACCTGAATATGACCTGTTATCAGCCTCTGGCAGTCACTGTACAGCAGTGCTGGTGTGTGGAAGATATAGCAGAACTAGTTCATGTGCTGACAAGTAGCATGCTGATAGGCGGAAAGAGCAGTGCAACAGCCGAGGAGGAAGAGACTTGAATGATGCTGGCCCTCAGACTGATATCTAAAACAAAAACTGTGGGGGAAATCTCTGCATTGGAGCGGATTATTAGAACAAAAGCCAATCTAGTCATTTTAGTCTTTCAACGGGCTAATTATTTTTATCTTGGTGTAGCCAGGTATCCGGATTTGGCTTGAGTTCTGCTTTAAGTAGCACAAGATCAAAATTGTCCTTTAGGTGTGGTTTAGCCAGTGTTGGTAAAGCTTCTACCATCAGCTTGTAGTAGATCCATAACTTGTCAAATGTTTTGATCATGTTATAAAGTTCATAGATGAACCCCAGACTTTCTGGTATCAATGTTATTTCCAACACAGCCACTAGGGGTTCCTGTACTCCCCCCATGGCAGCTGTTTAAAGTAGTTCTTGTTGGTTAGCCATCCATTTAAAAAAAGGTTTTTTTGGGGGTGTAATCGGCTTGAAAAAGCTAACAAATCACTCGTTCCTTGCTCTTCAACAACTTCCATCAGATATTCAGTAAAGTTGGCAGTGGGTGGACGAACACAAGGTCTGAACCACTGACACCAGTGCCCTTGTAAAACTTTTGTCAAATTTGCTTGCTAGTTTAGATCATGTTTAGCAATACCAGAAGAAACAAAAAACAAACCCAGACAACTTTATACAAAAAAAATGAACATGTTTTTATTTCTTTTAAACAAAGGAAGAACATTAGGAAAATTAACATTTTCCACATAAAGTCTGTTTTGAACTGGAGCCTACAACAACAACATTTTCAGCACCAAAACAAACAAAAAAAATAAAACATACAAATAGCCATAGATTAGTATCTATAAGCATACATGGAATATTGCACTTTGTTTTTTTATTTCTTCTCTAGAAATCTTGATTTCATTTGTTTTCTTCCTTAGTTAGGAAACCATCTCAAATACTGGACTATACATGAAACTGACCAGTACAGAATAAAAAAAAATTGAGAAAAATAATGCCTCTAAACAATAGAGTAAATAAATATGTCCACAAACTTTGCAGAAGTTTGAAGCTTTTTTTCGATTTACCACATTACATGCGATACAGTGCCAGTGGCCTTGGTAATGCTAAATCTCACATACATTTGCAGTGGCTATTAATATTGGTCTACCCTATATAGATAGTTGCCTACTAATCGGCACTGGAAGAGTGGAGGTATAAGGTCACTGACAAGAAGGGTGGAGGGGGGAGAATTGTCAAAACTACTGTCACTTCCTGTTAAATGAGTATTATGTCAGATAGCGAAAACCAAACGTCAGATGAATCACTTAAAACGTGACTAATAAAGTTGTCTTCGCTTTGGAAGTTATTATTTTAATTGACCGAACTACTTACTAAATGAGTTGGTAAAAAAAAAAAAAAAAAAGACACTTGCAAAAAGCATAGATCAATAAACCCATGTTACTTTAACACAATACACGGTTCATTTCCTCAGTTGCTAGCCTAACGGCATTTGGCTAGACTGCTGTAGGTTTGTACTTTAAATTAGATATCTCAAGTACAACTTGTGTGAATGAGCCGATGGCGGTTCGCCGTTGGGACTTAAAGTGATGCAAACTCTAAACAAATGTCATACGTCAGCACACATCCGCCATGAACTTTTAGATTTTCTTAGTGAAGGCTCGAGTGCTCGGGTTTAGGGCTATTGGATGCCCCATGTGTCTTACAGCACACAGTCCATTAACACTGCTCAAAAAAATTGCATAAAAAAGGAATGACAAGCGCAGGTGCCCATTCCTTCCGCTACAACACCAAACATGTAGTGCTTGCGCAGATTTACCGTCTTGCTTGTGCGTCAAATGGCATTTAAACCAGTCGGGGGCTACTATAGAGGGAATATGAAGGACTAGTCAGCAAAAAGACATTTAACTTTCTCTGTGCATGTGTATCAGCTAACACCACTCAGTTAGCTCCCTACGTGGTACACTGCAACATAAAAAAGACACAAATAGCATTCCAAAGTTTGGCAAGTGATGAGGTCTCCTGAGATTAAGTGATTTGTAGGAAGTCTGTAACAAAATCCTGCTTGGGGTGACAGTATAAAAGGCAACATGTCTTTGAAAGAAACTAGGTGTACAATCTTGATGACAGTCTCATGTACTTGCACCTTTTCTCCTTCTTTCTCTAACCCACTGGATTGCCGCTATTCTAGGACAGTAAGCCGCAAAACATAACAGCAATAAGGATTGGCATGAAGGCATTAGATGTGTTAAAATAAATCCATTGCTGTATGCAAGCTGACGGTGATGCACATGCAGTAGTACAGGACAGTACTGAGCATGTCAATATGCAGGTAGAGCCCAGGCTACAACCAAATGAAAAAACAAAAACAAACAAAAACAAAACAAAAAAAAATAGTGCATTTTGTCATTGTATAGTCTCTCAAAGCTTTCATGTGCTTTGTGGTGTGAACACCACAACCAAGCAGAGGAGGAAAAGGAAAGCTGTAGTGATTTCAAGCTGCTCGACGTGCACACTGAAGGTGTGCAAATTTTCAGCGTGAGAGGAATCCCGAACCTCTTTCACTACGTGCCGAGCATCTTGTTGCTTTGACCGCGTGCTGTAGGAGCGCAGCGTCTTCGTTGTGCCGACAGCAAGGCAGTCCAACTTCTTCTAAGAAGTATGGAGCACAAACGTGTTACAAAGCTGTAAGCGCCAAAATCATGACCACAGGTTGATTCAGTCTGCAACTTCCCATGGCGAGACTCAGACTGCATTTCTGTGAAAGTGCGTCTCCGTAATGGCTGCCAATTCGCACTGTTGGCAGTTCAGTTAGTTAGTCTCATCGGCTGACTATGTCAAGCCCCTTCAGCGAGATGGACAGGAAGGATGGTCTTCAATGGGCTGATCTGGGTTGGGATCAACCTATGGGCAGAAGAATGCATTTGGGTTAATCTACTATGGAATTTATGAACGGAGCATGAGATTTACACAGATTGAAATACAAAGCTCTATATGGCAAATCAGTAAAGTCGGGTATACACACTATTTTCTTTGTTCAACCTGCCGGCTGAACTGAGAAAATAGAACAGATTCCTCCATCAATGCTTACGAGCGTTGGAAGAATCTCCTGCCGTTTCCTTTGACAGGGGTCGCTATCAGAATACCCAACAGAGCCGGCAGCTCATTGGCTACTAGCTCTTGTCAGCCAAAAATTTTCTAACCCTGATTGAGGGATGGATGCCAGTTGGAAAGGTGCCAGCAGCAGCACCCACAAATTTCGGCTGGTTCATCAAGACTGCTAAAGACTAAAATGCTTATTGCATAGCATCTTCCCTGTCTGTTGAGCTGAAGTGTATAGGAATAGCGTGACTTCACACAGAACGAGGGTTGGCAACTTCAGCACTCCAGCTGTTATGGATCTACTATTCCCTTGGATGCACTGCAAGCCTGACATTCACAGGCATGATGGAGTTTTGTAGTTTCACCTCAGCTGGAGCTCTAAGGGTGCTTACCCCTGGCATAGATTATTGCATACAACTGAACTTTGGAAAGCATCCACAATCCTTTCAACCCTAGATCAAAATAAACCTCACACAGATGATGCTTTTCCACTGCACATAAGGCACCGAATTACAGCAATCTCTAATAACACGAAGGGCATCCAGCACTTCTGAATTGTACATTGTGCTAGCATTCCTCCTATGCTTCGCAAACACTAAGCTACTTGTATTGTGCAATTTGGAGTGGCGACATTCTCATAAGGGTCACAGAGCTGGTGGGCTGCCTGTCATGTGATACCAAAATCAACAAGACTGGTGTCAATAGCCAGTACCCTTAAACAAGGGCTTTGTTCACTTCATTCAATTACATTAAATGTATTCGTAATCTACTCTTAATGCAAAGAAGAACAATTTAATTCTAGTGGGCTGTGAGGGCTTGACAAGAGCAAGATTCACAACGAAGAATCATTTGTCTATACAAAATGAAGAGTAGAATGTGCTTACCTCTGAGTAGAGAGGAGGAGGCAAGTAACGAAATTCTTGGATATATGCAAAAAGTGGTCCTTGAAGTGCCAACTCGAAATTATCACAAATATTTGATGAAATAAGATTTTGTCTCTGCTCTTCTGTGACTATTTCAGCATAGCTAGGGGGTGCTGAAACAAAAGAACATCAAAAGTATATTTAAAAAAAAAAGTCCATAAAACAGAATTAGTAATAAAAAGGCACCTAAAGAAGCTAGTCATACATGTTTGTTACTTTAAACCTTAGCGCTGAGCTAAGCACATGGGAAAGCAAAGTTTACTTTACATTCTGACCCCTATGCAATAATATCTCATGATCAAGTGCATGCGTGTGATCAGTGACTAGCACGTGGTGGGGGAGCTGGATTTCAACATCTGTCAGAAAAAAAAAAAAAGTACACAGAATTGGGAAATTACCTTCAGGTCGTTCAGGTAGGACAAAGCCCAACCAATTGTTCATGCTGTACTGACTGCCAACACTTGATGTCCGGCTGCCAAATGGATGCAAGGGAATTGTTCCAATGACTAGTGGTAAATTAAGGAATAAGTCCATTGCGCCTGGAATATCCACATAAACCTAAAAAAAAAAAATTTGAAATAAAAGATACATTCAGCTTCCTTAATAGAACAGAACACTTATTTTTTAGCTTCTAATACTTATGATTGATGGCTTCTGCTGCAATTGAAGCTATTGCATTTGTTCTTCGCCCTCCTACACTATACATGTAGACTGCTTAGATATTCCAGTCTAGGTGCCCATACACTGCACAATTCTCGTACGAGAATGGCGGGAAAGTGCCGTGTGAATGAAGGCTTGCGACCGTTTCTACTGTACGGTCGCACGTCTTTTGTCTAAGGAGCATGCTAGAAAACCAGCCGAAAATCTTATGATGCTCGGGAGACATATGCCGAACGGGCCGGTGTGTGCACGTGCACACTGCCCGTTCAGCATTGCGGTCATCGCAAGTACGATCTGCCTGTCCAAGATGGGCAGATCGCACGTTTTTTTTATTACTTTACAACCATCGCAAGACTAAAGGTCTTGCAATGGTTGTAAAGTGTATGGCCAACTTATGTCTTTAGGCCTTATTCGCACAGCGTAAACTCAGGCCGTACACACCCGGAAGGGACAGGTGCTGAGTGCGATTGCGTACAGCAGCCTGCTCTTCCCTATGGCTGTATGCAGTCATACCCACACCCGAACTGCACATCCGTGCGGGTCCGGGTGTCCGTGCTCAGAAGCAGACAGGATCCATTCTGTCTGTGTCAGAGTATGGATACCCAGACCCACACGGATGTGCAGCTCGGGTGTATGTACGGTTGTGTATTCCCATAGGGAAGAACAGGCCGCTACACGCAGCACCTGTTCCTCCCGGGAATGGCTTGATACGGGGGTGCACACCGCACAGACGTGTACGGCCCGAGTTTATGCTGTGTGAATAAGGCCTTAAAATATATCCAGATAGACTGTGGGAATCATTTCTACCCCATACACAGGCCAATAGATCAGACTTCATCTGCAAGGTACCACCCATATTTTCTGGTTAGTACAAGTAGGATTTAAGCAGTACTTCCAAATTTTATTTTAACAAATATCAGCTTAATGGGCTTTCTAGAAAGCCAGTGGGCACATGGATCCATGAAAACGGAACCTCCATTATGTAATGCACCAACATTGTGCAATACAACCATTTTGTTTTTCCCCATTTGGCCAAGATGTAACTATAAAAGTTAATCGATTAAAAAAAATGTCCAATATAAATGCACAATTTCCTGCTACTCCCCGCAGTACTGATTGGATCGTATTCAACTAGTGGGCCACCATAAAATAGTATTAGGTGTTTTATCACACGTACCATGAGGGAATATTCCACGCGGATTATGCTGCAGTCGATGATGGAAGGGGACACGGGAGGGATTTTAAGCTGCTTGCCATTCCAGGTCTCTGTTTTTCCAGAAGACAGCGACTCTCCTCGTAAATTGGCCACAAGTTGTTTCACTTCCTTCACTTTCCCTTTGGCATAGAAAGTCTGTGTCTGATATATGGCTGCCTTAGGTACAACCATCCGGGAAGAACAATTCTCAATCTCGGCAAAGATTTGAATTGATTCACCTTCAAGAAGAAGACAGAAACAGGCTTTGAGGGATTTGCAGTACCAGCCTGAGAGAATATTAAAAACTAAAACCACCGCATAGTTTCATATTTTCCATTAACACACGCCTTATACCCAAGCTTTGAAATCATTATATTACCCTTTTGATGAAAAAAAAAAAAAGGGAAAAAAAAAAAAAAAAAGCGCATTGTATGCTGATCTAACCTTGTAACGCTAAAACATTGCCCAACAAAAATAAAATAATCTCTACGGAAAGGTAAATAGATTTACCTGGTGTATAGCCCTTCCTTTCGATTTTGGCACTTAAGGATATTGGACCTGAGGTACAAAACCAACAACACAGCGTTTTCTCTTTTGTGCCTGCTTGTGGTGACTGAAAAAGAAAAAAACAAAAAGCATACATTATTAATTAATGCCAAATAAGTGAAGCAAAGGCTAAAATAAATGACTAAAGCTGACCTGACTAGTGCTTGAGGCCTACAAACCCTGGAGCAGCCATTTTGTTAGCAGAGCCAACGTAGAGTGCTTTTAAGAAACTGCCCCCCCCCAGTAAATGTTCCTGAAGCCCGACTGAAATTTATGAGGTACTCGTGAATTTATAAGCTGCATGCCATCAGCCTCTGTATAGTATAGAAAACAGCTACCGCTAAGGTAACAAATTGAGAATCTTCGGCCAAACTTACAGCAGATGCCATGCGTTTGCTCTGGTCATGAAAGCAGTATGCAGATTAGTTAATATCGGGACTATTGTTATAATGGCTGCTAAAATTACCCCTCATGTGCACATTGTACACTCAGAAAACATATAGCTGATATGTCATAAGTAAATATCTGACAATGAATTTCAAACATCATTGCTAGAAAATCTCTCTTCCAAAAAAAAAAAAAAAAAAAAACAACAACATGTCTTACCAATAATGAAGGAGTGTTGATATCTATATGCTCAAACACGGTGAATTCCTTCTTTAATTTTACTGGTAGCAGCCAGGCTCTGTGCAATTCTGCTTTCACCCAATACCGTACACTACCGTGTCTCCCTTCAAATGAGGTAGCAAGTGGTCTGTACAAAAGAGGAAGGCAAAAAAAATCAGTCACTGTGCTTTGCTCAGGGAACTTTCTCATTAAATCTAGCTTTTTGCTGGTTCATGCAATGCCTGTGTTTAGTAGAAGAGGCCTTAGGCAGGTGTTTTAAGTATAAGGGCGTGTATTAGAATGAACCAAGGCCTTTGTACATTCAACTGACTAAAGCAGGAGTAGACCTCTGAAGAATAGATATAGGACAAAGGCAGTAGTAGACCTCAGAATAGATATAGGACAAAGGCAGGAGTAGACCTCAGAATAGATATAGGACAAAGGCAGGAGTAGACCTGTCACACAACTACTACTACATAACTACTACCAGACCCTTATAGTATGTGTGAAGCATGGCAATAGATGGCACTTCCTGCTGCAAGTGCTAGTAAGATATGCAGGGAGGGGGTACGCCTAGCAAAAGGAGATACTTACGTCTGTGGAAGCTCGAAACTGAATGCATATTCATGGCGTCCTGAAGTAATAGTGGTCAGTCCTTCTTCTGAGTTATCGTCATCTACAAAAGGAAAAATAATATACCTTCAATATTCTGCTGGACAAAATAATGTTCAGACCACATATACCGAAAAGTAGGGATGCACTGATACTGGTTTTTTACCCTACTTTTTGATTAGCCAGGAAGCTAGCTCCATGCCCCCTTGTCAGCAGGTGGGGCACGCGAGTAATGACTTGCCACCCGGCTTCCAGAAATGGAAAGTTCCGGTATCGGGAGCATTTGGCTTTACAAGTACTCAGTATTGGCACTGATACTGGTATCCGTATCGGTGCATCCCTACTCAAAAGTCACTAGGGGCTCCAAGTACAGTTTATTCTGTTCATAATAATATTATTTGTATTATTAATATTAAACAGTATTTATATAGCGCCTACAGTTCGCGCAGCGCTTTACAAAATGGAGGGAAACAGTAGCTACAATACAATTTCAGCATTGAGGATTTATCCAGACAGAAACCGGAACAGTTGGCAATGGCAACCAATCAGCTTCCCTATTCAGTTTGTTCCGCTAAGCTTTGAATATAAAAGATAGATGCCTAGTCGTTGCCAAGGGCAACTTCTCAGCTCCATTTTAATACCCCCCCCTCCATTGTGCCCAGAATGGAGGCTTGCCCTCCCCATCAGGTATAAGCAACAACCAGCAACGTAAGCGGTGTGCATTAACCATTGTGAAACTGAATGATTTCACAATGGACTTTTATTTCTTCATAATAAAACGTTCTGCTCCAGATAGTACGGCTTGACTAATGTGCTGCAGAGGAAAGAACAATGCAATTAGCCAGCTAACTAGCCTTGGGGAAACAATAAAAGCTGCTCCATGGCTTCCAGGTCACACCCCACCCGTGGAACTGAGGAGGCCCCATCTTATTTGCAGTAAACAACGGGTCCTCCTCGTTCTCCCTTTAGTAAATACATATAAAAACGCATATTTCATCTCATTTTGGGTGTGTGAAGTGCAGAGGCCGCACAACAAGTTCATGAAAAGCGTGACGAAAAATGTGTATAAAAATGGTAAATGTATAAATGAAAAGTTCTGTCGGTTTTTATTGAAAGAACTATATATTGGTGTAAACGCTCCACAATGGTTGTTTAATCGGACTACAAAGACCACTCGGTAAAGGAATGTGGAACGTCACATTCGGTTATTTTTACATGGAATCTTTCCTCTATAGAAAACTGAAACGCGTTCTTTATTTTAAAAACAAGCTACTTTTATTTTTCTTCCTCCGCCGCAAAGTTTTTTTCTTTTTCTTATTGCCAGCTCAGCAATCTCCTGGAAAGGAGCACTAGCAGGCTGTACAGTGTGGTAAACAAGTGCTGAGCTGTCAATCACAGACAGACTCTAGCAGGAGAGGACCGGCCTGAACCGGTGCAAGCAGATCCTCAGCCAGTCCCTCATATGCATAGACATGACGTAGCTGGTTGAAGAGACGGCGGAGCGCAGCCTAGCTTGCTGGCGCTGCCTACTCTTTTCTAGGCTTTTCCGCCCCCCTCTTCCGGGTGTACTAGAGGGACCACGCTTGCTTGTGCACAGCCACGGGCAATGTGCTGCTGCTCCTGCTAGCCCCGCGGCTGCAAATTCCTCGAAATGCGGCAGACTTTTAGAAACTGCCCCGGGATATCGCAACACCGTCACTCATTGTAACATCCGGAGCAGGGGGAAAAAAAAACAAAACAGGGTGAGGAGTTAATCAAAACTGGAGCAGTTGTCCATGGCAACCAAGCAGCTTCTATCTTTCATTTTCAAAGTTTAACTGAACAAACTTTAGCAGGGATGAGCATCTCCAGCTATTGTGGAACTACAAGTCCCATGAGGCTTTGCAAGATTGACAGTCACAGGCATGACCCCCCTTAAAGGCAGAGGCATCATGGGATTTGGACGCCTGGGAGTTGCCCACCCCTGCTGTAGAGAGGCTGATTGGTTGCTATGGGCAACTGCTCCAGATTTCACACAGAACAGCATGAATAAAGTCAAAACAGCTTCTCCTTTTACGGAGCCAAGTGAAAATCCGGCCTGTTACCTTAGTGCAGTGGTAGGCAATCCCAGCACTACAACAGAACTACAAGTCCTACCCCTATACTAAGGTAATAGAGGCTGTCCATTTAGTAAATTGAGTGAGTGCTGGCCTAGTGGGGGGGCTGGGAATCACCGACCAGGAAACCACGCCAACACACAACTATGTATAGTCCTTTCAGTCACTTATTAATTTCAAGTGTTGCCCCTTGGACTGTTAGGTTGCATCTATTCTGGGAAGAACATGGGCAGTCCAGTCCAGGGAGCTTGCGCCTTTCTATTAGTTAGCCGCGTATTTTGACGCTCATTATTCCAATTTTTTTCAAAGCAAGGGTCCATTAGGATTCCATACACATTTTGGGGGCACAAGCCGCAGTCTCCCCTATAATAGTACCAATGAATGATCACACAAAAGTACAAGCTATACGACACATAGAACACTGCACCCTCTGTCTGGGCTTGCTGGTACGTGCAGTTCCTCAGATGCTGCATGGAGATGGCCATGACAGAATATTTTAGCACAGGATCTGTGTGCATTATGTTATACTTCCATACAGGAAGACAGTGATAACACCTATCCTCTGTTGCTGAATGAGAAGTCCTAATAAAGCTTTATTCTTTGACTGATCGTGTTATATAGAAGAAGCCTGACTCCTATTATTACATGGCACACCGGCTTCTAGAACACACTCCAGCCTGCCCCCACTCCACACAGCCGCATGGGTTAACCAGTTTACACAGTCGTTGTCACGCCCACCTCCCTCCACCTGTTCCCGGGTGCCCTAAGCAACAGGAGCAGCCAATCGCTGGGCACAGGCATCTCCTTGGCAACAGCCTAACAAAAGCTCACAGACCAATAAGAAGAGCGCTGGGTGCAGCTTGGCGCTCACCACCTCCTAACAGATAACCAAGCTTGTGTGAGAGTCGCCTGTCGAGCAGCACGTAACAGGAGAGAAGCAAAAATTAACACAGTCACTGCCACAAACGGCAACTAGCCCATGGCTGCATACAGCTTCATCATTGAACAGAACAGCCTGTGTTGTAGCCAAATTTTGGTGATCGCTCATCCGTAATCCCACCCATGTAACCTACTAAAGCAGATACACAGAGGCCGGGGTTATATCAGCACCCACAATCTGCCCTATGCCAGACAGTCACCCATTGCCTTATAATGCAGTGCAGGAAATGTGGGTCACATTGGTCATGATCAGCATAAGCCAGTGATCAACATGCAGCCGCCAGTCCTCCAGCAATGTCTTTCCCATTTATACTGCAGCTTGTGCAGGTTTTATTTTTGGCTACATCCCCGATGGTGTGTGTGCCATTCTCTTCTGGAAGATATGAAGTCATTGGCACCACCTGACAGCAGTGCAGCCAATGCGTAGTGAGCAGAGGAGGCCCCCCTCCCACTCCCAGCTCTCTCTCCACTGACACCACTAGCCCAAAACAGGATTGAACCGCTTCTAACAAAGGCAGCCTGAAACTTAAGAAAAACAAGATGATTCCTACCCCCCCAACCCCCCCGGATTCATGATGTGGGAGACCAGCCTGCACCCATCACCCCCATAGCACTATTGGGGGGATTATCTGCCATTATGCAACCAGCTGCAGCACACACCTACAAAAGTTATGATGGAGATGAGCAGATCAGCTCTGCTAGATAGCCTGAGTACTAGGGTATAGCTACATAGAATAGATTGTAACCAGTTCAGTCTGCCTTCACCCCCAGAAGTATGGGGGGGGGGGGTCATCTACATGCCATGCTGCAATAAAATACAATGTAACCAGTTCAGTCTGCCATCACCCCCAGAAGTATGGGGGGGGTTCATCTATATGCCATGCTGCAATAAGATACAATGTAACCAGTTCAGTCTGCCATCACCCCTAACACTATTTTGGGCGGTCATCTATATGCCATGCTACCATGGAATACATTGTAACCAGTTCAGTCTGCCATCACCTCCAGAAGTATGGGGGGGGGTTTCATCTAAATGCACCCCTATAGTGCTGGAATACAATGACATTTATACATTGTATCCAGGCTGCACCATCAACCCTATAGCACTATGGGGGGGGGAGGGGGGTCATCTACCATCTACATGCCATGCTGGACTACAATGACATGTATACATTGTATCCCATTCATGCCATCACCCCCATAGCACTATTGGGGCGATTATCTGCCATTATGTAACCAGCTGCAGCACACACCAACAAAAGTTGTGATGGCGATGATCACATCAGCTGTGTTCCCCCATCCTGAGTACCTGGGCACATGTTATACTGGAATCCTGACATTTAGAACCTGTGACTGATCAATGGGCCCCAATATTAGCAAGCCCTGAAGAATCTGATGTGTGTAGATGGCAGTGCTCATGTGTAACAATGTGAGGCCACCATGGAGGGTGCACTTACCTCTCTCATGCCCAATGAGGATGTCCTTGTGGTTGAAGTACTCCACTTCTTCAGTGTAGTTCTGGGTGTAGGCAGTATTAGATCCAGCATTCCTCGATTCTGTCCACCTGACTTTGGCATGTCCCCTCGCATGGATCTTCAGAGATTTGACTCTGATCTCCCCAGTCACTTCCAGATTTACCTTTCCTGAGACTGTGTCCCCACTGGAAAAGACGGGGACATGGCTGCCATTCAGACAGTCGTAGCTTATGGTTAAACTCTTCACCTTCCCCAGCACCATGATTGGAACAATGAAAGGACAAAATGTATATTTAAAAAAAAAAGAGAGATGCGAGGAAGGGCGAGGACAGGAAAAAGTTAGGATATCATAGAAAAATGTGACGTTGGGATTTGCACTGAGGGATGCCTCGCACAAAGGCTGCAGGCAGGGTCAGTGCTGGCTGTGCAGGCAGGTCATTGGGGGTGATAGGGAGTAAAGTAACAGCAGCAGCTTCCCCCCTCCCCGGACAGTCACTGTGCTCTGCTCACTGGTCTCCGTACAAAGACGCCTGTCTGCAGTGTGCCGGCTCACTTTATCAACAGCTTCGTGAAAAACAACCTCACTGCGCATGCGTCCCTCCTCCTGACACCCTGCACTCCTCCTCGCCTTTATATCCCCCTTCTTCCACAAAACTTTGCAGCCGGACGTGCCCTTATATCTGCTGCTGCTTATCCAGCAAATCGTCCCTGAGGCTTCCTGTCACTTCATGTATGGCTTTGTATGTGTGTACAGGGAGCACTGCTACAAAGCTGTACAATGCAGCAGAGGCGATCAGAAAGGGAAAGTGCAGCCATTGTTGTGTGTATGTTCATATGTAGCATGATAAAGCATGATCACATCCATGACCTCCTGAATCCCGCCTCCACCCAGGATCATGTCTGTAGGATGAAGAATGCACAGTCATCTGCTGCTATTCCTTCTGCACTGAAGCAACAAATGGCATCTCACACACTGTCTATTGTCCAGTCCATTCACACCTGAGCATTTCTTTCATCAAAGGCGGCTTGGCACGCGTTAGCGAAATGTACAAAATAAAAGAAATGCATTTATAGTGCCGTTATTATTAACCACTTGATGACCGGGGTTGTAAACCCCCTTCCTGTCCAGGCCATTTTTCAGTATTCAGCGGTGCACTACTTTGACATTTATTCAGTCATGCAATGCTGTACTGAGATGAATTTAATTTCATTGTTTGGGGCTTTCTTTTGGTGGTATTTAGTCACCACTGGGCGATGAAATACCAGCAAAATAATTATTTTTTAATATATTAAGGAAAAATGACCCAACATTTAAAAAAAAAACAGTTTCCCCTACATTATGTTATGATACATTTGTTACTAACCAATTTTTTGGTAAAATATAAAAGATGGGGTCACATCGGGTAAATAGACACCAAACATGTCAAGCCTTAAAATTGCATGCACCCGCGAAACCGGAAAAAAAACGACCATACCCAAAATTGACCATAGATGACAATTTAAAAGCTTTAACCCCTCATCAGTTTAGTATTAACAGTGATTGATGGCTAGAATTATAACTCGCACTCTGAGATTCGCGGTGATATGTAACATGTGCAGCGCAATATCGTTTTCGCACGTTGGGGCACCCGACGCGTATTTACGTTTGTAAGTGCATATATGTGGGGGCAGGGGACTTAAACATTTTTGTTTGTTTTTTTTACATTTATTTATGTGTGACTTTTTTTTTTTACATTTAATGTTATTACTATCACATAGGGGGCTAACAATCCCCTATGTAATAGTACAGGCACACCGAAAGGTCTTCTTTAAGGAGACATTAGGGGTCTCTAAGTCCCCTAATGTCACCTGGGGTTCCCCAAAGAAGCTGATGAAGCAGTGATCTGCTTCACCAGGTTCTTCTCTGGCTATAGCAGCCAGAGAAATGACAGCTGAATGTGGAAGTGATGTAATACATCCCACTTCCGCATTCAGAGATCAGAAAGGAGCTTAGCAGGTTGGAGAGCACTTATCTCCCTCTGATCTTAATGCAGAGAGCCACTGAGCCATTCCTGGGCCCGCAGAGGGGACAACGGAGTCTGGGATAGGCGGTAACGGTGGTGGAGGGGGCGCACACTGTTGTAGGCGACCTATTGTAGGGAGTTTGCTGTCCGTCCATTTATTTACAACGGGTGGATAGCAAGTAGTTAATGTAACACTAAACTCAGGAGTTAAATCTTAAAAATCCATTCAAGTACCCTAACTATTAACAAAAATGTATCTTATTTGTGTATCACTCAGCTGTAGATCCTCAAATCATATCTGAATTCAAGCTAACACTGTCCTTCCTTCTGGAGGGGGGCTACTTTTGCTCCCCATGGTCCCTGTGTATGTTGTTAAAGAAGCCTCCACCCCAAGCTCGCTCCTGTGATAGGCTACAATCTCAAAACAAATGAGTAAACTAAATGTGAGATTGTAGTCCATCACGCGAGCTTGGAGCAGTGACTACTGTACAACACACACAGGGACCAGGGGGAACAAAAGTATCCACCCTCCAGAATTCAGCACCAATTCAGATATGATTTGAGGATCTACAGCCGAGTGATGCATAAATGATGAGCAGATCAGATGTGGTCCTTAGCCTGAATACCCGGGCCTAGGTACATGCCAAGCTGCAATAGAGCATTATTTAGAATTGTAACCAGTACAGTCTGCCATCACCTCTAGAAGTATTGGGGGTCATCTACATGCCCTACTGGAATTAAATACATTGTGACCAGAGGCGTAACAATAACCTTCAGGGCCTCGGTGCAAGAAACCATGAAGGGCCCCCCATCCCTCCGCCACCATTACACCGTGTGGTTAACAGGACAGCTGCCGGGGTCCCCAGCAAGCGCGGCACCTCAGACAGCCGCTTCAGTTTAAAAATTGAGTGTCGGTGTTCTGTCGAGAACACCAACCTAGTATCTGCATTTGCGCACACACGGGATTAACGAGGAAACCGGCATTTATTTACAAAGTATTCATTTGTAATGGTTAATTGTGACCGTTAATAATATGCCGTCCATGGCAGTAAATGATGGATGGCATATTAACGGTCTCAATTAACAATCTGAACTAAATGCTTTGTAAATAAATCCCTGTTCCCTCAATAATAGCGGTCTGTTCGCAAGCGCAGATGCTGAGGTCGGCAAATTCGACTATGTCGGCGTTTAGTATCGGGGCATTTTCACGAGTTTGAGTACTCATGAAAATGCCCAGTATTGGCATTGGTGCATCCCTACTTAAAAATATAATGTATTGCTGGGACTTGTAGTCCTACATAGTTGGTGATATTCTGCATTGCTGTATAACTGCAAGTCCCAGAAACGCATTACAATAAAAGAACAGCACTGCAGAATATCACCCCTAGCGGTATTAGGGGATCTTTTGTGTGCCATGTTGGAATAAAATCAATGGGGACGCGTGGGAAACATGGAAAAGAAACATGCACGAATGCTACACTCAGGTGTGAATGGGGGGGTGGGGGGGGGGGTCATCTACATGCCATGCTGGAATAAAATACATTGTAACCAGTTCAGTCTGCCATCACCCCTAGAAGAACTAGGGTAGTCATCTACATGGCATGCTGGAATAGAATGAATGGGGACATGGAAAAGAAGCAGCGCACGAATGCTACGCTCAGCTGTGAATTCAACTCTTTAAAAAAATATATTTTAGACCTTGATATACATTATTTCTGGGCAAAGTTTTCATGCAATGATTGAGAACTCATGTGAAGCAATTAAACGGGAGTATACGGATATGCAGCAAACTCCAGAATATGTACATGGCCACCTGGGGCTGTACAGTGTAAATTTGGGTGTATTTCCATGCCTAGGAGTCACAGCGGCACATAGAAATTAATGGCTGTATGGAGCTGTACGCAAGTATACACTGCATTTGGACACATCTACATGCCATGCTACATGCCGGGGCTGTACATGCATACGAATGTACAGCCCCGAGCACAGACATGTGGCTGCCAGGCAGGGAAATGCACTTCAATATACCCAGTACTATACATACATACTCCTGTATGAGCTAAAAGTTTAATCTGCTTATAATGTGCCTCTCCTGGTTCCTCCATACCACATGTAGT